TTCTAAATTTTAACAGTGCTTTGGTTTTAAAAATATATTAAAATATATCAGATGTTTTAACAAAGATTTTATCACAAAAAATATTATTTTAAAATTTATTATTTGTTTAATACTTTGCTAGTCAAAATGTTAATTATTCACTACTTATATTAATTACTTATCAGAATAAGTGGTTGACACTCATCATTTCTGCTTGGCTCGGCTCACTGCTTGCCATTAAGCCGTTTTATCGGAAAATTACTTGTAATAGATGTAGAAATGGTTCTACAACATCGAGATTTTTTTAAAATTTTAAAGGTGCTATTTAATGGTTGTCATTTAATGGTTAAACATTATTTCTAATCGTATAGCGTTATCGTGATCAGTTGTATAGCTAATAAATTTATCTTAAAAAAATTAGAGTGCTTAGTGTGGGCTTAATTCGCGTATGAAACAATAGATTAAAACTTCTAATTTAATTTATATTTTTCTCATTTTTATTTCCACAGTCTTCATTTGGTCTAAATAAAAAAATCTCGTTAATGAATAAATGAAATGAAAACAAAAATAGAAAAATTATGCATAAAACGCATAAATAGTAAATTGAGCAGAAAAATTAACAAACATAGGGAAACCTAGCAAAATTAGATGTTATAACCACTTTTTCCTAACAATTAGTGATAATAATTTGAAGAGCTAAAAGTTGAGAAATTATTATGATTAAGCCAATTAGGAAGGTTAGCGACTTTCGTCATCGTTCTAAAAATATTTTTTGTTTTCAACGTTTAAATCATTTAATGATACGATAACTTGAATTCTTTTTAAATTGCAGATAAAATTTCTTCATTTCTCCTTGTTCTCATATGAATTATTTTAAAGAATTCTGAACTTGCTGGAATAAAATTTTAAAGAGTTATTTTTTAAGTAAAAATTGAATCGCGCGTTTAAATTTTGGATATATATGATATTTAAATAATTATCAATTATTTGCATTATATGAATAAAAACCGCAATGATGTTGAATTTTGACACTTATTTCTGTACAATTTATAGCTATTAATTAAAGCACTCAAGGATGATCGCTTTAAATAGGTTCTTATAACAAAGGTTTTTTACATAAAAAACGATCATTTGAACATGCCTAACAGCCTTAGTTATAACATTCTTCCATGATTGGATCGCTTCTGAACTTTTTCTTTTTAAATATGAAAAAAATGTGACTATATATCATTTAAGCTTTCCTATAAGCTGAATTTATGCAAATAATTACTATAAATAAATTAAATTATATTGGTATTTTTGATTGGAAATTTTCATTCTATAATTATTCTCCTAAATGACTTTTTAAATCGTCGGAAGTCTTAAAAATTATATAATACAATAATTATTTGCGAAAAAAATATAGGTCCACTGGATGCTAGTTCCACTCAAAGAAATCCAAGTCCATGCCTAAGTCAAAAGTTCTCATTTGATGAGAAGTTCCTCTCTTAGATAGAATTTTATGTCAAAAAAGAGATAGATAAAGGTCTTTGAACAAACAGCGAGTGTTGAAGGCCATGCAAGTTCTTTCCAATCGATGTGCATACTACCAAGAAGTAGGAGGAAGAATTTTTTCCGACATGTGGTAAAAAAGAACCACTGATTTATATCAATATATCTGGATGCTTAAAAGTATTTTTTAACTATTGGAGCACCATTTTTTATTCGCTAAATGCTCTGATTGCGATTATCAAATGATTATCAATTGCTAGACTTTGATGGGAAATAATTTTACAATAATTATTTGAAAATATTCCAAAAACACTGAAAAAAGCTTTAATTTTGCTTTGAAATAATTTTGATATATTGATATATCAAAATTAAAGCAATCTAGAACGTTAATTTCACTCATTAAAAAAAATTTCCATATTCTGTATTTAAAAATTACCATGAACTGATAAAAGAACCAAATTATAATGCAAAATGCGAAGGGAAAATCTTGGGTAAAGCAAAAACGAAGAGAAAGTTCCAATGAATATTATTTCTACAAATTCCATCACTAAGTGAGCTTCTTTCAATGCCTTTAACTTTGTTATCGCACCTAAAAAAAAAATTTTATCAATCTCAGCACTCATTAAATTTGAAAACAAGCAGATTCATTCCAATTTTCCCAATTTTTAAATTAGCGGCTCAAGCATTTCAGTGATAAGTGATTTAGTTACCAAAATATAGCTGTGGGTATTAAAATATTTAATGCATTTTTGGTTTCATTTATAAATTACTGCACAATTTTGCTTTACTATTAAAAATTGAAAGAGGATGCATAGTTTCGAAAAATATGATTCTGATTTTAATTTGACTCTAAAGCCATAATTATTATAAAAAAATAAGTTAGCGCTTTTTAATGAAAATTATAGGATATGAAATTTACTGCAGTTCATTTTTTTTCTATGAGATTGTAAAAAATTTCCTATCAATCATCATTTTCTACATCTCTCAATCACTCACGCATTTCTGGCTTGGCTTGCTTCAGTGACCATTAGGCCGAGCCCTTTTCATGAGAATAAAATTACAGTTGGAACTTTACTATGACCTAAGTATTCAACGCAATATCCATAATTTCTTAAAAAAATTTATTTATTTACAAATTTATTCATTGTTTTTTTTTTCTTTAACCAGCTATTGTTAAGTGGTATTTTTATTTTAGGCAAAGTTCATCTCAATAAGCAATCGTCTCAATTTTTTACTTAGATTCTAAAATTTTTTAAGAATGAAATGTGTTATGGCTGAGCCTATGAATAGCTGAATCTAATGAAATATACCATTGTTAAGCATTTCATTATCATCACCCTTTGTTCCTCTAGCTGAAACATTAGACATTTGTTTCAGTAAGAGTAAGCAACTATTATTTTGGACGGAAATGTTTGGATTATCTCCTCTGTTTATAGTACACAATTGACGCTCCTATAATCTGGTCTTACAATCATCATTTGTTACGAAAAGTTTATTTATTCTTTAAAATAATTTATATGAATTCTCGGATGGGTATTTAAGCATCTTCATTTTGAACTCGTCTTACTATACTTTTATATATAATTTTGTTCAAACTCAATGGATTTCATTCACGAAAACTTATTCGCGCAAAATTATTCGTGAATATCGTTTTCCTCGAAAGCAATTTGAAAATGAGAAAAACCTCTCATGATTTTGACCTTTTTTCAGTTCCTATTTGAAAATTTATTCCTGAATTTCACAATTATTGATGCTAAAATATTTGATGGCATTAGTAACACCATATTATTTGGCTTATAAAGTGTTAAATAATGCTATTATAGTGGATGGTCAAAATAAAGCAGATTATATTAGCAACAACAATAATATCACTTCATCATTTCTGCAACAATTTTTCAAGGTATTTAGAAAAATTCATAATTTAAAGCGTTCTTTGCTTAAATTGTCATGAATTTTTCATTATTCTATTTTTTTTTTTTGATATTTTCCCTATTTTTCCGAAATTTCACAAAAAATCATAAAGAGCAAGAAAATTAGAATTAACCAAAGAAAATGTAGATATGTAGCATATATGCTGCTTAGATATAGGTGAGATATAAAAATATTATTGTTGAAAATAGCAATCAACCTACAGCACAGTCCATTTTTGGTTTAGCTGATAACGGGGGTGAAAATGTTTCATCAGAGAATCGAATATGATCGAGTTGCAAGATGGATCGTTTAATTGTAACTTTCAATTTACCACTGCCAGATAACAAGAATCCAAACGTAAACGTCCAGCTGATCATTTTTGAACAAGTATTCAAAAATAAAGCAAAATGGAAAGTAGAAGCCAAAACAATTATAGCAAATAATACCAGGAATTACAGAGGCATATAAAGCAAAAAAATACAACAACAGATATAAAAACTGAAAACTTGAAAAGATCTAAAAATTTAGCGGATAATTGTTAAATGTAAAAAGCCTATGAATTCTCGGAAAAATCTATTCTTAATTAAAGTAAATGAAAGCAAAAAATATTCGAAAAATATTAATGTGATTCATGTCATTTTATCATTTTTTTGGCTCATCTAAGCCTGATTTACCCAAGTTTTGATGGTGATTATTATATCCTCTCGCGTCTATATTCTCTATCCTTAGAACTCTAGTTTAACAATTTATCAAGGATGGTTTATGCTGCTGGATAAGGCGAGTAGCTAATTTTTTTTATTTTGGAATTGAAATATCACCTTATTTGCTATCTCTTCATAAGAATAATGGCCATTTTTTCAGGTTCAGTAAGTATTTAGCTGAAACCTTATAAAAAAATGTTTTTAGAAAATTGACTACGACAATAACAGTCGGCTAAGTCTGGAAGAATTAGAAAAAGTTTTTTTAACTTTAACCAACTGGTCATTTGAAGAGCAAAGACATCAGTTCAACTTATACGACAAAGATAAGAATGGTTTTTTCAACTTAAATGGTGAAAATTAAACTTTAACTCTAAAATTTTCGATCAACCTCAACCTCGGGTCTTTTGCCAGTGACTTGGGAGATTGAGGGTTCTTGGGAGACTAGCTGTTCCTAATAGTGGACTTCAGATGATAAAGATCTCCGGTGTCCTGGAATCTGATATACACAATGACCCACAATGACCCTTAGTATATGCAATTCATATGAATATATATGTATATTTAAAGATCCACCTTAAATACTCATAGAAAACGTCTTTGAATTTTTTATCCTCTGATATTCTCTATCAACAAATCTCATATACATATCTCCTTGTTCCTAGATTGCAGATTCTTCACAGCTCCGTAAGAAGGCCAATATTTTTCCTCTAACCCACTTCATTCAAGAAAAATCCTATTTAAATGAAATGTTTTGCTTTAGAAAACTCGCTTCGTTTTAGAATTTGCTTTAGAAGATTTGATTTAGAAAATGTGAAGAAATTCGAACCATCGAAAATAATTTTTACAATAAAACTAATAAACATTCTTCACCCGTTATTTTTCTCGAAATTTGTATAATTTCTAGAACTGAATGGATTAATGAGTGAAATGAATAGTTGTTTATCAACAGCCAAGGTGAAGGACACAACAACACTAACTGAAGATGAATTGAGCGCTTCAGAATTCCTCAGTGGTTTAAGCGATTTCCCACAAACGATATATGACGATGTAAGTAATTTTTATAAAAATTTTATGCTGGAATTATCATGGGAAATCAACAATTTTTTTGAAGGCCATTTTTAACAATTTAAAACTAAAATTGTGGAGAAAATCATTCTCGAAATTTATTGAAATTAATATTTTTTTCAACCCCATAATAATTTTTATCAGAATAAATAAAAATATTATTAGTTGTTAGAATGATAGGTTTGAATTCAATATAGACCGCCAACTAAATTCAACAGCAGCGATTATTTCAGGAAGAAACAGTTGACTCGATATTAGAAAATTACGAACCGAATCAAAATTCGATTCCAATTCGTGATGTTCAAGATGCGATACGAATTATGAATTCATATGCACATAATTATTCAATATTAAATCAAGCAGATTCAAATAATGATCAATTTATTGATGTAAACGAGGCTTTCGTTTTTATCAACCAGTATGATAAGGTAATTAATATTTAATTATTTATAGGCTTGATTTCAGTCGACGAAGGATTTCAGCTCTAATTACTTATTTATCGAACTTTATACAGCTAAATTATAGAGCTAAATTTAGGTACTCTCAGAGGAATGGGGCAATAAATTTTAAAGTCGATTATTTTTTTATACTGAATTTGACTGAAAACAACCACGTTTAGCGACAAGCGCCAATGTGCTTACATTAACAAATGAAAAGAAATCAGTGATAAAGATATAAATACAAAAAAAGAAGTATGACCACAACAGTGTGGAGAAATAAAAATACAAATTAAACCACATTACTGTCCACATTAAGGTAAATGATAAAAGATGATTTCAAACTTTCCGCATATTGAGAAATTTTAAAAAATATCATGGATGATATTACTTAATCCTTTCATGATAAAAATAGCTAAGGATGATTTAGATACTATGTCGTTCGAAAGCTTATTCTAGCAATTAATGGTGCGAATGGCAAAATCATGATGAATTCATAGTTTAGTTTTGTATCTAACTGTAGCCTATTACAGTTCAAACTTGTTGAGTTCAAATTTAACTTAAAACTATGATATTTGGAGCGATCTCGTTTGGCATGCACAAGGATGACACGCAAATTCAAAATTTTTTTTTGGCTTCGGTAGCTCACTATTAAGGTAACTACAAACAAGAAACGAGGTTTGCGTTTGAATCCTGCCGACGTACCACGCTTTGTCGGGTACCAGTGTTACCTAACAGAGCAAGAAATGAGAGTAAAACGGCATAGTGAGTTGTTGCTCAATTCGGAGCGTTGAGATTGAGGTCCTAGTCCAGACAGAACCTCTCCTCCAAGGTGATACTGGCGACTTACTATTTTTATCGCCAGGATTCCCTGGCGTGTTTAAGTAGACCCATCAGAGGAGCGAGTCTAACCAGTTATGGGTACTCATTATATATATATATATATATGAATTACATTTTGTTTAATTCGACGAATCGAGAGGGAGTCTAGATTTTTTATAATTTAAATTATTAGAAGAGAGGGGAGATACGATGTACAAAGTATTTTTGGAGTCCATGAATTAATTTACTTAGTTTGCGGTATCTAGGGGAATAACAGTGTATACTCACTCAAGAATTATACTCAAAAAGATGGCATACAAACGCATTATTTTATATATTTTGATAAAAAATTTTCTTTTATAAATTATTTTAATTAAATTTCTGATATCTCTGATATTTCTGATATCAAGACTTTCATTCGCAATTATGTCAAGATATGAGATATTCAAGACATGTCTGATTATACTACCATTAATAAAGATGTAAATTTTATAGTGGGAAATTACCTACCATGAGAATAAATTTTACAGTCAACAGTATGGAAATGGTAGAAAAATATAGCTTTGATGATATGTAATAATTATTAATACAACATAATATATAATGAAAAAGTGATGGCCCGATACACTTACCTTGAAAGAGGCCTGGTTTAACTTGGTCTGCCATGGCTATGTTCACTGAAGCCAAAATCATTAGAAAAAATTATAATAAAGCGGCAAAACACCTTGATTAATCTTTATAGTTATTTTTTTATTATTTAATTTTATGGCATCTGAGTTTTTAGATTTCGAAATAGATTTCGAAATATTTTTAAAATTTTATCAGATTTATCAGATCAGATTTTTTCTGAATTCACAAATAACATTTTTCCTCTGCTTTCAGATAGATAACCACCTGATTTTCTTGAAATTATTTCTTAAATCTCAGCAATCACTAAAAAGATGTCTCTCCGCAAAAGGTTGAAATTTTTTTCTGAAAAAAACCATTCAATTTCTATAAATAAAACCATCTGCATTGAGATGCAACTGAGATTTTTTCAAAAAGTTGAGAAATTCAATTTCGCCTTCGAGGTTCGAGGCAATTTCCTAAAACTTATAAATTTCAAGATAGGCATCCTTAAATCAAAGTTATTATATTCTACAAAATTATTAATCAGAAAAAAAAGATTCATTCCCTATCTCCCTCTAATCACCTCCATCTAATCACACATTTCTCATTTGATCTGAATAAATGCTTGACAAATTAACGAATTTTGATCAATCAAAAACATTAGAAATGTGTTCAAATTCCCAAAAAATTTTAAAAAATCTTTACCCTACATTCGTGACAATTCTTTGTTCCTCAATCCTATAAATTATTGTTGTCTTTGTTTCACATTAATCTCAAATTTTCGCAGGAAATGAAATGAAATGAAAAAAACCAAATAATAGAAAAATATGGTTAATTTGATAATATTGATAATGACAATGAACGTTCGATAATCCAACCTATTTGATTAATTAAATAACTTAGTTTAAATGAAACAGAAATGTTAATTCTTCGTTCCACAACTTTCACCCTCTCAAACACCCTTAAAATTTTCCATATTTTCCCTTAAAATTGTCTCTATCGCTTGAATAGCTTCTTCAAATTCTTTTACAAATTCTTTCTTTTTATTCAATGTGTATGGGCCTACAGAAACTACTATTGCAGAAATTTTGCAGATTTTGCTGCGTTTATCAGGGATATTATCAAATACTGCCCATTGATATCGAAATCCAAATCAAAATGTAGAGAACTGAAGGAGAAGACACTGGATATAAAGGTGAAACAAAATCTGCCACTCGACCCAGTCAGTATTATTTCATTCGTGCTTCATTCGATTCCGAATACATACTTAGCAATCACTGACGACGAAAATTCGCAAACCCTTGACTGGAAGCAATCATCATCGAAACGATTCTTTGATTCCATCTATCTTTTGACTTTATAAAAAACTAATATTATTCTGATACAATATTTTATTTTCACTGGGACTGCCTTTGATAGCAAAGGCATTGGCCACAAAAAATAAATAAATTATTACAAATTTTCCTTTAGAAAACTAAAAAAATTATAAATATATTAGAAAAATAATATCATTAATATTATTATAAATAATGTTATAAATAATAAAAATTACATTAGAAAAAATACTAGAAAAAAAAGGTCGAATTGCATTTTTCCTTACTTTTTCAATTTTCAGTGGAAATTTTTCAAATAAGGCACTTTTTTAAGGAATGAAAATGGCAGCTATATACGATATACGAATAAATCATATATGACTGAATGACTAAAAATAGATTCACTAAGTCTATGTTATTGTACCTATTACTGTCTCTTGTTCAAAGTTCTCGCTGGCAGAATAAACTTTTTTAGTAAACAAATTTCCTATGAAAAATATAAACGCTAATAATGAAGCTTCATATAATATTATAATATACTTACTTGCGTGGTTTTATGCTATATTCAATTATGCCAGCCAACGTCTCATTTAATGGATTTCTGGGCCGTTGGCCAAGATTTTGTCAAAACATTATCCTATAAGAATGCGCGCGACAGGGTTTGATTTTATGAGAATAGAGTTAGACAGAAGCTGAAAATAAATTCGAATGGATAACTCGTGCGATTATTTTGCGATTGAAGTATTTTTAGCCACGTGCATTTTACGATTCATTCATTCCGACAGATATTCGGTCGGAAATTATTATGACACATACCCATACTAAACTAAAAGTCAAGGATAACTTTGAATCCATAATATTTACTAAAGAAAATTTAGCACTTCGAAAACTTTCATCAGTAAAATGAGAAAACTTGAGCGATCGCAAAAAAATGAAAAAAATCAAGAACAAATAATTTGGAATGCAATATTAAAAGGAGTTGTCCAATGGATGGGCAGTTTTCATTTCCTTTTTAAAAATGCAACGGATAATAGCTTGTCAAATACGTTAAATTTATAGATAAAAGCATTTTCTGATATAAACATCAATATCAATAAATCGACTAATGAACCTGGCCCAGGACATACACTCAAAGCCTATTCGAATCCAGCCAAACATATCCATGAAATCTCCATTATAAGCTCTTGATTTTCACTTTCCCTTATTCGCCCTTCTTTATATTCACTTTATTCTTCTAATGCATTCTTCCTTTTTACACCATTAAGCCCAAGCTCAAGCCTATTAAAAACTACCGATAATATAAAATCAAAGCAAAATCCTAATAAATTTTTTTTTTAAAAGCACACTCACCACTGAATCGTCAGCATCACCAGGATTTTTAGACAAGTTTACTCCTGCCGGGATTACAACCTCAGCATCGAGGTTCCAAATTGAACAACAACCCACTGAGTCATTCCACTATTTTTTGCTTTTCTCCGTTACACGACACTATCGCCCGACGAAGAATGGTGGAAGATTCGAACCCAAACCTTGATTCTCAGTAAGAATTATCTTACCACTGAACCATCGATTCCCTCAAGTCATGGGCAAATGGGCAATGGACAAAAAATGTAGAAAAACATTTAATACAAAAACAATTAATCGCAATTAATCAATTGACTGATAAAATACCTATTTTTACCAATTCATCACAGGAGGAAGTATTTCATTTTATCTTAGGTTCACTCCAATCCCAAACGGCCCAAGCGAAATCCCAATCCCAAGCGAAAGAAGACGAAATTACAAGCCGAATAACTCGAAATTTTTCTCTTTCGGTTGGCGAATAGAATCACTGTGAAATCGCCATGAAAAGCCAACTAAAGTTCGCGTATCTTTTTATACCATTTTATTTTACAACTGCTGAAGATGGCCAGTGAGAGGGGAAATATTAAGAAATCATCCTTGTTTAATTACTCAAACTAAGGCACATTTTATGTTTTCGTCGAGCGGATAAATTCTCATTGCCTTCTGATTGCATCCATCCACCTTCGCTCAAATTGCATCTGCTTTAAAAACAGCCTAGAACGTCGTCTATGCTGGTTAGGCCATATTCTTCACCGCTCATAGGATCTGACATCTGACATCGGATCGAGCGGCGTTGAGTCGCGTTAACGTTATAATCAGTGTAGCCAGCCTAACTGCTAATGGTGCGTTAGAAGAAGAAGGAGAACCAGTTGGTCACGATTTATAACGTATTTGCTACAAAATGCGATAACTCCTCAACATCTTCGGTGACGACAATCGAGTCCATATTCGTCAGTTTTCCTCTATAATTAATAGATCTGCCAATATAATTATTTTTTTACAGATTTAACCTTAGATTCCTTCCATACGATTGTTAATATCCTTTTATTTGCAACTTTCCTTGAAAACTGAGTATAATACAATAAAAATTTGTTGTCACCATCACATCACAGTAATAGTAAAGCAAAAAGTTAGTGGTGCTAGCCTAACGGCCAAAAATGGCGAACGCTATGCATTGAATTATTTAGCGGAATTTTTTAGCTGTCAGCAGGACAATCCGATCCCTCCGAAACATCCATCTTTCTTCTTCTTCTTCTCCTTCTAGCACTCACCATTGGTGATTTAGCAGACTCCATTGTCTATTAGGATGAGACCCGTAAGATAAAATAGGATAGTGGGCAGCATTTCCATTTCACACAAAAGCACATGTCCACTCACCAACCACAGTGGCTTTCTAGCTTAAAGGTGAGGTGAAGCTGTTTGGTACCGTAATGTGTGCATTATAGGCCATTAGGTGTAATCTTCCGCCACAATAACTGATACTAATAAAGAATAAAAAGAAAAAAGACGGACGCAAGCAGGTCACAATCCATTTCCATCCGTCGAATTACAATTCCTTCGTTCGTTCTCTCAGCGCAGTTGTTGGAATAGGTAAGCTAAATTCAGCATATTTACATAAAACTCTAAGTTATGGGCCAAACTCAACGAGGCTGAATATCGTTGGCTGAATATGGCCTAATGTTGTTCTGGTCTTTTTTTTGGTTCCCTAGTTCCGTTTCGTTCTAATTTTATGGTTACTCCTTTACGATTTACCCTTCCCCTTCAACCTGTTTGTTTCCTCCCTACATCCCTTTCGTGCCGCACCGTCCTCGCCAACCCTATTTGTTTTCACCTTTCGCAAGCTTTCCCTTCCCCTTCCTTCCTTTTCCTCTCTTTTTCTCATTGACTTTGCAATTATTGATTTTTCGGGCGATTTTCTCTCATATTCTTTTTCATATTCTTTTGTTTGTATGCCTTTTCCTCTTGTCTTCGATTGCGATTATGTTCTTCCTTTCTTCCCAGCATCTACTTCTCCTAAATCTATATCTTCTTTCCACTGTTCTGTGACTCTCTCGTTTCATCCTATTTTATTGATTGACGCTGACAGCTATATAATTTTTATTCGTCGTCATATGACTTACGCGATCGGTTAGTTTTGTTATTTGGCTGTGGTGTTTTTTATGATCGTTCGGTTTGGGTCAAGGGTCGGGCGTGTGCTAGGGGTTTGCGAAGGTGGGTCGGGTCGACGTTGTTGTCATCTGTTTGTTATTGTGTTTTGGATATAAGTTTTAATTAATATATAGGTTACAGTTTTATATTTTTTTATTATTTTTGTCATGCATTTTCACGTTCTGTTTTTTCAGAAAGTTTTCTTTGTCTTTAAAATTTTAAAATATCTCTTTATCGTAAAGTTTTTTCTTTATGGTTCGAAAATTTCTTAAGACGTGAAATTTCCAATTTTCTATGATCATGCACAATTGCAAAATAAATCTTTATTATTTAGCTAAACAAAGGAACATTTATTGGATTTTTTTTGAAGGGGAGGGATTTTCTAATGAAAAAAATTCATTTTCATGTATATCAACTTTATAATCAACTTTTGTTGAAATTCATGTCAGATTTTTTCTGTTCCGCAGAGTAATGTTTGTACAAGCTTTGGCGCATAGCCATTTTTTGCGTTTCGTTAAAAAGTTTTAGCATAATTATATCAGGAACACAAATAAAAGTTGACAAAAAGTATTTTTAGAATTGGCAAAAACGTAAAAAGAAAGAGAAGGAGGCGCTGTTTATTATTTTTTTATGGTGAAAATTCGGAAGGTGAAGAGAGATCTGCTTTTTTTATCAAAGTGTCCTTTATTTTAAAGAAATATAAAAATGGTTATTTATTTTTATTTATGTTTTTTTTTTATCTAATGAAACATTAACTGAGAGATAATAGTACTGCTATTGAAGGAAGAAAAAGGACTAAATTTTACAAACCTAATTTCACGGAAATTGTATGTTTCATTATAATTTTTAAAATGTATTGAATGATATAATATTTTTTTTCAGGAAATGAAAGCAAAAAATTCTATGCATGGCATTATTTATGATTTACCGAATTTCTTGGCTCTCTCTCTGAATGAAAATAATGGTTCAAACGTGGTAATGCTGGATATTTCGACGCCAGCAGTAATTGACAAGGCTGAAAGTATAGACTCATCGGGTTATGGTTCAGAAGATATATGTGAAGTAGCCGACAAGGAAGCTGATATTAGCGATAATTCCGTATCACCATTAATGGATAAAGAAAATTTTGATTCATCAGATTATGGTTCTGAAGGTAGTACCGACATCAATGAGAGAGTGTCATATGTCGCGGACAGTGCTTCTCTGTCGCCATCAACTAGAAGAGGAGAAAATTCTCGTCCAGATTTTGGTGTTTCATCTCCAGTCATTGGTAAATTTTGATAAATTATAAATTATTTTAAATTTCAATTAAAATTAAAATGGAAATCAGTTGGTTGCTAGGAATTCACCTATAACTCCATCTCCAAGTGACTCTATGGTGAAAGGGTCTAGTCTTGATTTTCAGTTTCCAATCCAGTATTATATGCAATGCGTGCGTTCTCGAGCAGGGTATTTGCTCAAAATGCTAAGGATCTCTGGACGAATTGCGAGGTGTTAGCCATGACAGTGTGGAACATCAGAACATTTATGGGCGTTAAAAGCCTAATTATCGTGTGAGTGCTTGAAGAAGAAGTCCTGCTTGAAGAAGAAGTCCTTCTTCCTCATTTCGATCTCGAGCAATTAATGATTCTGATACAGAGCAGAGATATTGGCTGCATTATTGTGGCATTTCGGATAAGTCGAGGGGGAATTGCTTGGCGACTTTCATGACTAAAAAAGATCCCTTCTGACTCAGTGGAAACCAGTAAGCGACCATATGGCTTATGCATGTTTTAGAGGAAAGCTCTGCAATATTTCCATCATCTGTTTATACGCCTCAGGTTTGCGTGCAGATCTGACAAGGATAAGTTCTGTGCTGAACTCTGGCTGCTAACAACATTTATACTGAAAGATAGATGATATGGTCATAATCGTCATAATCGAGGGAAATTAAAATATGTGCACAGGTTATGGTGCCATCACAGTGAACGTAATTAGCAATTATGGCATCGTGGTCGGGTGCGCCAATGAAGAAGACTTCTCTTTGCTGAAAATCATGTCGAAACTTTTTATCACTGTCTTTCCGTCATCAAAGTAGATATCTAGCCGCATGGAACTCTGCGGATAAGCAACATTCCAAAATCTAAATCTTAATTTCAACTAAATTTATTAAATCTTGGCCAATTGCGAATAGAAGAATGCTATATTAAATAGTCGTGCGCTGAAACTGGTAATCTTCATCTATTGTGAAACCATGTTGTGAATTAAAATCCCCGTAAAATTAACAATTCATAAGAAACCATATCTCCGAAAATCTTTCAACTGTCTTGAAGTAAGATTCGGGAATAATAAGAGCAATTCAAACCGAATTATTGAAACATCTCAGTGTGAACATCAGTGATACCTCTGGAACGGTAGATGAATATTGGTGCTAACGATAGATAAATGAATATTGGAATGAACGAAAACCATATCTCGGAAAGTCAGCCATTTTCACGCTAGGATATGCTAGCAGAAAAGGCATTAGTTGGGTATCTGAAGCAACCACCTGTTCAGAAGCTAAACGCGAATGTCGGTGGTTCCTGATTATCGAATTTCGAAAAATTAAAACGACAGCAATACACTGGGATAAAAATTGCTATTGGAGGGGTTTAGCTTTGAAAATGGTTATGGCGCTTTGTTTAGGTGATATTAGGAAACTGTTCTTCCTTTTCTGCATAAAGTATAACTTGGGAAATGAAATACAGGATAGTAATGGTGCGTCTGTTAGGGCTATTAGGGGTCGCTTCATAAGGTGGAAGGAATCCTTTGAGGCCAAACTTACCCTCGATTCGCCATATACCGTCCCGGATAGCTGGTCGCTCATCGAGTTATATATCTGCGAACTGCCAGCAGAACTAATTTGTTATCCATAAGTTTAAGGCTAAATGAAAATCCAAGAGGATATAGTCTTCATGCTGAAATCTTCAAATGTTGTTCATCGTCATTCATAATGCATCTTCAGCAAATATATGCTAGAAATAATACCAAATAACTGCAAAGCGATTTTGTCCTCAATTTCAGAAAAAGTTGATAAAATATGCCGAAAAATCAGTCTACTAGAGAATTCAGGGAAAAATTTCTACTTAGTAAGACGCAAAGCTGGAGAATCACGATCCCATTGCGATTGTGTTGACCATATTAAAAAAGATACTGGAACATCACTTTGGCCTAGTCACTTATTTCACCTGCATTTGATCCAGTTGATAGAGCAGTGCTTTGGAAGATGGCGTTATATGATAGCGTTCTAGAGAAGATCATCACATTCACAAAGGTACATCGGCACAGGTTTATGCATATGGAATATGAACTAGCAAACTCCTTCAAAATAAGAGCTCTTGTCCATCAAGGCTTTCCTACAAGATTCAATTATGCGATAGACTCGATAATCGACACACAGGAGGCGTACAAATCAATCCAAAGGATAGTATCATCTTGTATACGTTGATGATGTAATCCTTTTTATTGACGTTATAGTGAAATGCAAATATGTTAACAATGGACAAGTCGACATTTGGACATTTTACAGGTCCGCCGAATAAAATCTCACAGGAAGCATCCATCTTCGCGCGTGTACCAGTTGCATTGGTAGTACCATCACACAGCTTCATCTTCGCTGTTTAGAACACGTTCTTCGTCGTCTTTCACAAGAGTTGAGACATATTTCGTTACTTGTTTGGCGTCAAAAGCGAGATGGGCCTATCAAAATCTGGACTAATACAATCAGGAAGATTTTGAACATAAAAGAAGACCAGCAGTATATGGACTTAGACTATGGATTAGCTTCTGTTACTATCAGTGGTGGCATCAGATCAGATTGGAAATATTTTGCCTTTGTAGCCAGCCGAGCTGGAGCCAGCCTAAGTAGCGATGATGATTAGAAGAATAAAAATTTTAAAATATTAAAAAAATATTCAAGAAAATAGTGGTATGGACGAATACGCTCTTTGTCCGGAACTATCCAGAAAATTGCTGATCATCGGCGTGGATGTTTAAATTGATAAATATAGTTTTAAATGAATTTTCCGTTTAAAAATAGCGGTGAATGGTTCATTTTTTAGTTCATTTTAAATTACAGAAAATGGTCTCAAAATACATGGAGAAGATTCAGAAATCTGCTGTGCCGAAATTGGTTTTTTGCAAGATTCAGGAATCAGTGGTTACAGAGAAAATGGTTATATACTTGATGGTTTTTTAAAAGAACATGTTGGTCTTAATTATTCTGCCATGGAATATAAAAATTCTCCTGAGCCATATACTTTGGAAAAACCTCCATCATGTTGGCTTATTCATAATGGTAAGTGTTATGTTACTAATTGATCAACCGCATTTTTGATTGCACTAGTTTATATTACAGAAAGTTAACTTTGAGAAAAAGTTGGCATAACTTATGATTATGGCACAATTAACGAAAAATATGTGTTTAAGAACTGGTAAACAACACAGGGAAGAAAATTTTGTGTGGAAAGAAGAAATCACAGAGGTTTAAAGCACTGCGCTATTTAACTAGATGTAGAATGGATGAGGTTTAAGTTGATATGAAGGGCCTTAAGAAACTGAAGATTTTTTTGAGTAAAGAAATATAATACAGAGGGACGAACGTGAGGTATGGGGTCGGAAATATTGTGGGCGAATGGTTTTTGCACTAAGAAACGTCGTGCGGAATTTTCTTTAAGTTATTTTAGTTATTTCTTGTTAGTTCGGCCTCCATTCCCACCTACAAATTGGATTTTTTCGTAGTTATAAAAATTTATTATTGCTTCCTTATTCGCTTTATTTAACGGTAAAGCGGTACAACATAAATAATTTTTATTTAAAGGTTGTGACATTGGGAATACAGAAATGTGTATAGATATACCTACACACAACTGTATTCCACCTATTACTCCTCGATCTCTCATTCATCATGGAACATCCTTAAGCATTGATGAATCATGTGTATCAGTGAATATGAAGAATACACGAATAGCAGCCAGTGGAATCTCAGGAGAATTTTCTTGCGATATTAAATCAAACGATTTTATGTCTCAGCCACTTAATTTAATGAAGGCAAGGTCAAAGTGCGAAAGGCGGCAACCAGTTGAACAGGTGTGCAAAATAAGAAAAGCGAAATTGGAAATTGCTGCATTCGATCCTGATAATCTTGCAGCTGGTCATTTTAGAATGAAAACACCATTGAAATCAAATAAAATTAGCGCAAGGCAACAGGTTTGTGCAACGTCAAAGAAAAATGTTTCAAGTTTAGAAAATAGTGTTGCTGAGATGGGGAGAAAAGAAGTTTTATGTAGAAAAAAGCTTCGAAATACGATATCATTATTACCAAAAAATAGTTCGCGCAAATGTTCATCATCTTTAGTAGCAAGTTTTCCAGTTGGGATGAGCGGTACCGAGTTTCTTGGATTATTTACATAAGTTTGTCATATTTTCCCTCAATATCCATTATTTTTATGCACCCTTTCTTTTAATTTTGGAGTAAGGTTTTATTTTGATAAGTAGATCATAAGTCATATATACAATTTTTGTAAAAGCCCATTCAGATTTGTTGTTTGATGATCTGAAGTGGCGCGTGGTATTTTATTTATTTTTGTATGCTGAATCATGTGGCACTGTTAGGCGGGTTCCTTTTTTGTGTATTTTTGGAAAGGTGTGTATGTGGCTTAAATAGAATTGTCAAGGTATTGCTGATTATGATTGGTTAAGCCAGCAGTTATCAGGCTTTTTGCCACGAACTTCTAGATGGTTTCATAGAATCCTATGGAGCCCTATGGAGTGTATTATATTTTAAAATTTTTAGATTTTCTTACCATTGAGTTTTGAATATAATAGACCTATAAAATAATAAAAAATAATTAACCATTTAAATGAAGAAATCTGGAATTAGGATTGGCTTCTTCTTCTTCTGAAAGTCCTCATGGATTCTAGAGAGTTTGTGAAGATCAGTTTAATGGGTTTAGGAATTATGGTTACGATGTGGGTTATGTGTTGATGCTTTTGTTTTAAATATATTCGCGAAATCATCAGTTTCATCAGTCAAAGCAGTTTTGAATTCTTCGAATTCTAGAAAAGATTTTTAGCAGTTGTATTTTATATTTCATGTGATATGGGTTAGTTGATGGGTTTTGTAGTTTTAAAATTTATGATAAAAAATTTATCATGCATGATTAATGTTAGTTCAACCGGTGATTTTCTGATTTTCAAAATGTTGAAGCTTCGAAATCACTAGTGGATTTTGTCCGATCCTTATTGCATAGAATTTGGTTAGGTCATATCGTTTTCGTTTTATCCTTTTTTTTTCTGCATTTATGTAGATGAAACCTCATTATATATTTTCGCTGTATTAAGGCATTCTTGTTTTCTAGAAACTTTGAACGAGAAATATGAATAATGTGCCGATTTGAATTGCAATTTTTTGCTTCTTTAATTCAAATTTTTGAGAAAGTTGTGTTAACTGCGCATTTTGCGATTATATAGTAATAATTATTATAAAATGCTAAAAGTATGGTTGTATAATGTGAAAATACAGTGAATGTATTATTTTAAAATGTTTTGTATTTTTTGTTGTATATTTGTTCATTATGTGAATATTTTCCACCTATTCTTGATGATCTCGCTTACATTTTGTAATGGTTTTGTGATGCGCTAATTTGAATATGGCTATATAATATTTTTGTAATTTTTTAAAAAAGCCTCTCTATATTTAGTTTATTTTAGCCATTTTTTAGCCAAACAGCCAGAAGTAAACGGTCATCCAAATTGTTCGGACCATTCTATTAAGTGGAAATTTTCTTTCATCGTTGATATTACTATTGCAGTAATTTTTTTGGTGTTCTTCGAAGTTTCTTAAGAAAATTTTCATTCATACGGGAGCGGTCCCTTTTTTTTTTTTTTAAATGCTAAGTAATCCCAGTTTATTTATGTTCCTTAGAGATAGCTAGTTTTTGATTCGGGACTAATTAGAAAAATTTTTGAAAATGGTCTATGTGGCAAAAAGCTTTTGTAAGTCGATTGAGTCACAAAAAAGTTTCATAAAATTATAAATTGAAAATATTTTTATTTGAATTATTTTTTTCTTTCCTTGATTTAGCTCGAATAATTCTGTTAAAAATTTTTTTTTGGGCGATAACGATTGTCTCAACGATGGTGATAGCTGAAGATGTTTTTTAAGAAAGCGATTAACTGATCATGATGAGAGGTTGAAACCATCGTTTATCGCTGCGAGGAATTTTCGAGTTTTTTTAAAATTTAATTTTACCTCTGTGAGTTAATATGCCCCGTTTTTCATGGAACGTTTAATTTTACCTTTTCCAGCAATTGGCAAAAATAGGATTTATTACAAATAAAATTGTGTAAGGAATATTCATACATCTTACCACCATTTTTCTACATCATTTCACCGCATCATTGATTATTCATTTTTAACATTCGATATTAATCGTTCAAAGTAAAATGTCATTGTAGTCACTATCACTTGTGTGACCTCGTTTATTTGTTTTTTAGGTCGTAGATGAAGAATGGCGAATAAAATAATCGTTGGTATTTATTTTTTTGATTTAACTAACATTTTTCTTCTTGCTTTGGCAGATTTTCGCAAAAACTTTCACATAAGCAATTTCTGTAGCTCGCATGTTTCCAGGAAATCTTGTTAAATAACATTATATTAAATATATTTATTAAATGTAATTTGGTTATTTAATCTCGGTCACCATGTTTTTTTCTTTATTTTTGGTTATATTTGATTTTTTATTTAATGAGTAATTCACAATTCACAAATACGTTACATTAGATTCTATATCATGAAATTAATGTTAAATTGTAATTTTCCTTTTTGATTAATTTAGTTTAACTATGTCTGATTAATCAATTATAGTTTCGTTTTTTTCATTTTAATAAAATATTTTTCTGGTTTGAGCAGGAATTTTCATTTTCTTTTCACTGAAAGGTTTTTAACGTTTGGAATCAACGAACTTCACTTTTCATGACCGAAAGTACTCCTGTTTATCGCTATAGATGTTAAAGGCTTCATTAAATTTTGTATTAAATGAATGTAACTTTCTTAAAGCAAGACGAGTGGGTGGACTGCGTCGAAGCTTCATGATAAAATCGATCAGTCTCCTAAACCGTTTCGGCTGTACATTCGAAGCTGAAATTATAGCAAATAATTAATATGGTTTGCTTATTGGTTCGGTAAGGTACCAATAAATAAAATAAGAAAAAAATGTACAAACTAAGTCATTTTGCTAAGGAAATTCACTGTCTTAATACATTCATAATTGGCTTGTGCGTATAAATGCGTATAAAATTTAATGATTCTTATAAATGGAAACCTCGGCGGAATGCCGAGCTTAATGTGATGGGAATAAAACATGAAATGTAAAATGTGTGAATCTGAAGTCTTCATAAGTGCTTATATCATGACTGGTATGAATATTTAATGTTATGCTGCTGGATGTAAATGAATATGAACGTGACCTCATTGCATTTTATTGCATTGTAGTATAATTTATGGGAAAAATTATTAATGGGAGATTACTTACTTCAATAAGTTGACTGTCAATTCTTACTCCGCGAGGTCCAAGGAATTTTTGTTGGAGTTGCTCATCACATTTCAACCACTTATATTCCTTTAAATAAGATGAACTGCAGGTAATTTTCTGGTGGAAATTGTTCATTTTCTCATTCTCTTATCTCTTCATCATGGGATTATCACGCAGTTCATCTCCAAGGAAAGGAAAAAACTGATTTTTTCTCGAAGTCTTCCATTAAATATAAATTCAATTCAACTAATATCAAGTAAGCCATACCTTATTTTGTGTAGGTATTAACTGTTTTTCTGTCAATTGGATTCGTATTTCGAAGCGAGCAACTGTAATCAATTTTTAATTAAATGTTATTTTGCTATCTCCAAGGGGTATAAATTTTAATAGCTAGAAACCAAAATAAACAGTTTGACTTGCAAATTCCACAAACTCCGTAAAACTTTATCTAAAATATTTTGAAACTCTGAAAGATGGGAAAACAATTACATCGGAAATATTCATTTGAAATTTCATCAATGAATATTTAATAAAATGAAAATCACACAACACCTTTGTTTTCGATACGATCTACTTCGTTATGGGCTTCAAAAATATGCAAAAGTGATCTTTCCATATTTCGCTTGAGGATGGCAATCTGAGTGCGATAATTACTTCTGCAAATTTAATATTCACATTCGTTTTTTTGATTAAATTATTTTTTAAAAAATTTTTTTGGATTTTATAAAACAATACATCCTTTTAAATGTATCCTTATATATATATCCTTTATGTCCTTTTAAAATAAAGATTAAAATTAATTCAAAAATTTCACAAAATTTCAGAAACTTATAATTGTGCAACCGAATAAAAAATATATTACAAAAAATGATTACATTGAATCAGCAACCTGAATGAACAGACTCTGAATTTGCACAAGAAATTCGATAATAACACGTTCATTATCATCGACGACACATGCGGAAAATGCTTTCAATTTACATCGTCTTATCCACCGAGAAACTGAATGTAATGAGCGATCGATATACTGTACCACATTTTTATCGATACATTTCTGAAATTAATTTTCATTATAACTTTAGAAGTTTAAAGCATCATAATACTAAGAAATGGTGTAAATTCGACTCACAGAAGACTATGAAATATAAACCATTCAAGTATTTCAAGAAAAAGAAAAAATTAATTTTCCTGGATTCAATTTGATTAATACTGGAAAATCAAAAAATCTAAAATAATATTTTGACTTTTTATCTCTCTACTTCATCAATTTTTTCACTGAGCTGGAATGAAATTACTTACGTGCAGGAAAATACGTCCATAAGCAATAGTAATAAAAGCTTTTGATGGATATAAACATGAAACAAAAATGGTTGTATGACACAGCCATTTCAAATAATCAAGAATAATATACGTAACACCTAAAACAAATTGTTTTTTAAAATTATTATTAACATTTTGTTTATTTACCTGCCAAACTGGTAAACTCCAAACCAATAAAGCCTTAACAAGTAAAAGCAAAATGGGTGCAGCCTGTAAGCCTAAAATAAAGACGAATTTAGGAAATGGCAAAGCGAGTTCACAAAAATTCGAGTTTTAATGGCAAGGTCCAACTTCTCAAAGGACACATGGCCAACCATGTATCTCATGCTAATTTAAGCAATGCATAAATTTTCACAATTTTCACAACTGACTGACGAAGCTTGCAGCCGAAATCCTCTTGTCATGCCATTTCTTTAAGCGTTCCGCGACTAAGTGATTTAATCTCTACCTTCTTTTTGATCGAAAGATTTGCTACCAACTTTGATCACCGCGGCTTGTTTAGCCAATATTCCTCTTGATATACATTCTCTACCACTTCCTTCTTTCACCATTCATAAAAACTTTAAAACTTTTCTTGCTGAAATTAACTTCTCTAAATCTTTTGAAATCATTAAATGTCATATTGAAACCAACAGTCAATATTTTTTTACCACCAAGACTCATTATTTAGATGCACACTTGGTGTAAAACCGCGATTCGCTATTCTGTTTAAAGGAAAAACAAACAACAAATTTAATAAATATAAAATATATAAAATAAAATAAAATTACAAATTTCGTTAAAATTTATGAGCGAAGAAAAAGAAAAAAAACTTTACACAGTGATATAAACGATAAAAGTAAATCAATGCACTAAATGAAAAAATTCAGAAAAGCTGACAACATGATTGCTAACAAAACTTGAAAATAACCATTTATATTTAACAATAGAAAATATGTATACATTAACGAGATGCAAATACGAGGATGATCGAAAACAGCACTAAATATAGGAAAACAAATTCACTTTAAATCAGCAGGTACAGGTAGATAGATCTGATTCCTTGCCCTTTGCAGGGATAAACCTGCTCTTAAAAATGAAATTATTTTTTATCTGAACAGGTAGTAAGAAATCCATTTATTAGAGTGAAAATTCAAAAATTAACTCCCTTATAGTACCAATTTAGTCGAAAAACAAAATAAAAAGCACCAATACTGATTCTGCTGCACGATGATACTGAGCAGTTAATTTATAAAAAGGAAAAAGTGTATCCTCTAAAAATTATCGCAAAAATTAAAAACATATAAATTTTAAAAATAACAAAAGAAATAAAAATTTAAAAATGGCTAAAAAACACATGGACGGAAAAAAAACCATTGATGAAAATCTCTCTGTAAATAACGTAAATAAAAACAACTCAATCTGAGATCGAACCATTATCATTTAACTGGTTAAAGTTCAAATGTAAACTCTGTTAACAATCCGCTAACGATATATAATACTTTATTTTAATAAAAAATTTAATTTTCGACACCAAATTCTCCGCTCATTTCCGAAAATATTTTGCATAAAATTCTTAAATGTTTCAACCTTATCCAAATCCAAATTTTTGTCACATTCACAAAGTTTAAATTAACACATTCCCTGCTTAAATATTTTGCCAATTTTAATAATCTGACGTGACTGATGCCCAGTGAAAACGTATTCATCAGAATGATGACATATTAACATCAGCTGAGAAATCATCACCACCAAATTCACGTTTAGAAGCAGGACCACCTGCACCATCACCAGGTCTTTTTGCGCCACGCTGCGTGGCACCACGTGAACCTCGACCTGAACGGCCTCGACCTGCTGTTCCTCTGCTCGCAAAACCGCTCTGAAAGGCATATTTCATTAATTATCAGTTCAAAGACGTCATATTAATGGATATATCATAGACTATTTGGTAATGAAAATGCGCATAAAATGAGAAATATATCAGTGAAGAATAACGACAACCAACATGTCACGATGGTTCACAAAATTCCTAATCCCAAAAATACCACATCGAATTTTTCAATCAAACATTGATTAATCTTGGATTTCCAGTAATGCTGATAGTCAATAATTTAAAATCAGTGAATAAATAATGTATATTTTAAGATTGATCAAAACTTAGAAGAAATTTCCACACTTCTCTATGGCGAATACTAAGGATTACTGTAATACATGATAAATAATAACGAAAGCATCACTGATAATAAAATAATTCTTGAATCTTACTTTCACTGTCTGCTTAACTTCAAGAAATTTCTGTTTCTCAATATCAACTCATTTTATACGAAATTTAACAAGATACTTTTAGAAATTTAGATTCCCGAAGTACTTCAGAATCCCATTTTTTCTTAAATAAAAATAAAACAAACTTAAATAAAATAAACTTTTTAAATATTTTAGCCATCTTTCTATTACGTTTTATTAGGAAACAATTCTAATAAAATACATTTACTATAATTATATATAGCAACAAAAAATTAAACAACATTAGAAACAAAACTATTTTATGGAGGAAAAATTATCATTCTCTCGATGCAAGTGGAGGTCGTTTAAAAAGCTGCAAACCCTTGGTATAAATGTAAGGAAATCTAGATACCTGCACCGATCCACGACCTCGCATACCGACTGGTGGTGCTCCATAACCATAGCCATAAGGATCGGGTGCATAACCATATGAATCGTAGCCACTACTATACGGATAACTCATTGGTGGAGCGCCATAGCCATATGCATCTTCGAAGCCTAGAAAAAACAATCATATCTATGATAATAATACATGAAACTAATACCTAAAAATGAAAATCCGCGTTTATATAGCTGCGATCTGCTCGATCTTGCTATATGGCTGCGAGACATGGCCAATGAGGGGAAAGGATGTTAAGAAATTACCTATCTTGGACCCCTCATACCTAAAGGATAAAATATGACCACCTTCGTTCAAATACCACGTGCATTAATAGTACCAGAGGATCACCTTCACTGATTCGAGCATGTTCTTCATTGTCAGTCATAAGAGTTGACACATATTTCGTTACTTAAACCCTATGATGTGGGTCAAAAGCGAAGTGGGCCAATCAAGAGTTGGAATTATACTGCCAGGAAAGATTTTGAACGTATTGATAGACCAGTAATACATGGACTTATATGATGGAAAAAGAAATGGCTTCTATTTCTGCCAACGATGGCGTCAGATCGCACAAATGTCTTAGCGTTGTGACCAATGGAGCCAGCCTAACCAGTAATGGTGAGAGCTGTTAAAAAAAGAATACCCAAAAATGAGGACAAAAAATCCAAATAATAATTATATATAACGCTTGTCAAATTCACAAACCATAAGGATCAAAAGATCCGTAATAATCGCTACCAGAAAGAAAACCACCACGACCGTTAAACGACGGGCCACCGCGTCTCACATTTGCTCCACGCCCTCCGAAACCGAAATCACCAAAACCACCACGTGGCATAGCAAATCCTCGGCCACGACCACGCATTGATTTTTTTTTATCGCTCTGAGGTTTAGCTAAGGAAATATCGATAGCCACACCTTCAAGGACAGTACCATTCAGTGCTTCCATCGCCTAAATTTCAAAAACACAAAAGTAAAACCCAAGAAAAGATTTACTTCAACATTTACCTACAAAATAAACCATTCAAAAATTACATTACAAATCCATACACCTCTATTACATAAAAATTGGTGCTTCTAACAGAACAGGCTCCTCCAAGAACAGTTGGCTTTATATGGACTTTAATATCTTCAATATCAATAAATCTAAAAAAGCGATAAAATTATGTGAACCTTAAGCGCAGGTTCTCTTTCCATAAAGTGTATGAAGGCATAATCACGAATTTTTTTAGCTCGATCGATTTCACCATGAGCTGAGAACATTTCCTTCAACTGTTCCTCAGTAACAGCTTCTTTTAAATTACGAACATATAAGACCTTTACTTTGGCCATCGTCTCTTCGTCAGGTTCTTCTTGCTGTTCTGCCCAATCAACAACCAAATCCGAGTTCCAAGGTCGCAACTAAATCAGATCTTACTGCCAAAATCAAAAAATGAACCAACAGCATAAAAGTACAAACACGAAAAGTACAAACTTGAAGAAAATATTTAAAGTTTTCCAAAACTGTATGATATAGAAAAACACCTTTTTTTCAAACTTCAGAAATGACACTAACCTTCCCTGCATTGATTTTTCTTTTAGCATCCGATGCCGTTTTATGATCACAAAAATCCAAAAAACAAAATCCACGATTTTTACGATTTTCGCCTGCATCCGGACTTGAATAAATTATGCAATCCACTACACCTTCTGCAAATTAATCTTCTTTATTTAAAATAAAATTTGAGGACAAAATGCGCGTACATCAACACAATATAAAGAAAAAGCTCACCTGAGATGGCCTTCACAGTCGCCGAAACATTTCGTAGAGCAGACATGGACAGAGAGGTCGCTTAGAATAAGGTACTAAGGTCCTCCCAAATTACGCATGGTTAACTAACTCACTTATAAACACAGTTTCTCCACTATCCATTCAATTCCAAGACATACAATTAAAAACGAGGTGAATTTTTGGTACTTGAACTAGCATCTCCAAAAGTTACCTGTCTGATCTTTAAATTCCGCAAGAATTTCGTCTTTGGACTTCGATTTGGGAATATTTCCAATAAAGAGGCGAGTATTAGCAACACTGACATTGACTTTCAGATTTTTTCCAGGTAGAATTTCGTGGCCATCATACTACAAAATAAATTTCGTGTAACAAAACCGTGCCGCTCTATCTTTTTTATTGCGGCTGCAACTACTGATTTTTTTTTTTTCATTCAAATGTTTGCCCAAAAAATATTTTTAACATAAAAGCAAAACCATTTTGAAGGCTCTAAATACAAAAGGAACTGATTTGGTAGGGCGAAACATTAAATTTCCCGCTTCCCTAGGCTAATCTATCCTAACCTATTCCTAAACCAGCTCTATATTCTACACCCATAAACCTATCGAACAAAGAAACACAAAACACAAGAACAGGATGGCAGGATATAAGCGTCCGATGACTGCAGCAAAGAAACGCTTAAGATACTGACAATGATAAAAAAATAATAAACAAGCGCATTAAAACGAATCCAGGCAGAAATTTCTAAAGATCTCTAACAATTAATGAGAAAGCACAAAAAAACGCACCAACTAGTTTAAATATATCTTGCGACTAAAATAAAATGATAATATTGTAAGATCCAAAATCATTTTGGGAACCTAGCTCCAAATTTCGCATGAATAAAGTTAAATCCATTTAAGCAAACCATAAGCATGTTTATCTTTCTGGCTTAACTTTTGAAATACAAAATCCCAACAGTAGATTTAAAAAATGGAGTGGAGGCAGAAAAATATATTATATTTTTATATTTTATATTTGGATCATTTTTTAAAGCAATTATTATAGAAATGATGAAATAGAAATGAAACTATATTATGTTTTACCCACACCCAATTTATACTATCAATGTTTTGTAAATGTGTTAAGCCATAAAGATAAATGCGCCAATAATTTCGAAGAGAAACTGCTGGTATTCTGAAGTTCGACTGATGAAAAATAAATTTTTGGAATCAAAAAGATGTCGTTTTTTGAATTCGCAAAAAGAATAATCTGAATCGAATAATAATTAATTTCAACCTTATAATCCACGGTAAAATGAAAAAAAAAGAACAAAAAAGAAATAAAAAACGTAAGGTTGTTGCTGCTTTTTCATGGCTTTTCAACATAATGAAAAAATTTCGCATGAATTACTGAAAAAGTCAAAACTTATTTTTTAATTTTTTTTTGACAATAAAATGCGACTGCTCTATAACCATGAAAAACAACATCAACAAATAAAAATTAAAGGATACGAACCTTTTTAGCAGCTTCGAAAGCAGCTGCCTTATCACAATAAGTGAGAAAGGCGTAGCCACGATTTCGCCCCGTCAGTGGGTCCATCATCAATCGCAGATCCCATATCTTCCCCATTTCTTCAAAGAGAGGTATCAATGAATCTTCATAAACTTCTTTCGGAATTTTGCCGATATAAATCTAAACTTGCAAAAATATAATACATGATTCTACGAAAAAAAATGAAAACAAACTTTCATACAAAAATATGCAAAAACAACCATAATAAACGCATATAGTCAAATTGTTCCTACTTCGTGACCAGGTCCTATTGGTCCCGTTGTAGGGCCATCCCAATCAGGTGGAGGACCACCATATTTACGCTGGCCAATCGTAACTTCGAGTGAATATCCTGTTCGATCCAATATTTCTTTAATTTTTTCAACATCTGGTCCATTCACTAACGGCTGACTGAGAGCGGCTGTTGCACCTATTTGACGGACTTTATCACGGAAATTCCGCATAATTGACATCAAATACTGGGCCTTATTTTGTACACCAATTAGATTTGATTCTTTTATCTGAAAAAAGGAAATCAAAGGAAAGCAAGGAAATCAAATCGAAGATTTGATTCTTAATGTCAGATAATGTTTCAATTTCGAAATGTACGAGTAATCAACCTCTTTAATAACAAATAATGCATGTTCTTCGTTGAAACTACGCAGTAGTTCGATTGCACGGTCATCGAAATCTGCTGCAGTTACGTCTGTCGCACCGAACAATTCTACTAAAACTGCCGCTACTTTTGGTTTTAAATTCTGAATTCGCAAATTCTTGTATACTTCATTTTCCATATATTCCTCTATTTCTTCTTCCACAGACTTCAAATTTTTAGATTTGTAAAAGATTAAAGCAAAATTCTTAATGAAAAAATTTCAACCGAAAAACTAGAAATCCAAAATAAGGCGAATGTTACTTCAATATTATTGCTATCCATCGTTTCTTCATTATCATCTGTTTTCAGCCCATCACCATTTTCTATATTTTCAGCATTTTGCTGATTATCATTATTATCCAGATTTCCCTCATCGACAGTATCATTTCCTGTATGTTGCTCTTCTTCCAAATATTCATCATGCTTCAAAAAAAAATTATTTCAATGTACCTGTGATTTAAAAAAAGCACAAATCAGCACAATAAAAAGCATGAAATAAATGATTCAAAAAATTGATGAATCAAAAAAAATTACATCGAGAATCGATGAAAAAGAACGTACCACTTCCTCCATTTTTTCATCAGACATTTTTAGAGTTTATCCAAGAAACTGAGTTTTTCTGCAAAAAAAAAAAAAATTAATATATGAAAGAACCAAAAAAAAAGAAAAAGTGACCGGGAATAAAAGAATTAATTGAGAAGAAACATCGAATATTTTTTTTCGGAAAAAAATATCACCTTTTCTTCCCTATTCATATTTGGCAATAGGAATTATAAATCTGTAAAATCTATTTTAAATTTTAAAAATCTCGAGACAAGCCATAATTATAAATAAAATATCTTTTTTTACAATAAACGACCGCTCTTAAAATAATTCAATAAGGCAATATTGCCAATATTCAACCCATTCGTTAAACTCTCTTTTATTATTTCAGTAAAACTATCAATAATAAAAAACAAAACAAAAACAAATGTCTAAACAAAACATACAAAAAATATAAAAAGTAATAATAATAATAATAACAAAAAGTAAATTATATTAGGAAATATTACAATGCAAAATAAAACAAAAATGTTTAATAAAAGCATAAATATCAAAAAAGTACTGTTGAAGGTGGCAACCTTTTCGATATCGAATCGAGATATTCTCGTAAAAAATTAAAGCGAAAAGTTTGAACGATTCAAAAAAAGATATTTTAGAATCAAAAATAAGTTAGAAAAACAAGTCCACTACTATTTCATAATGTTTAAAGAGGAAAATTTGATAAATAATGAACAAAAGAAGAAAAGAATCATATCACTTGAAAAGAAAAAATGAAAATTTCCCGACTTTTCACCAAAGAAAATAGAATTTGTTTAAAAATATTATTTACACCTTAACATTCATTAAAATTAATTTAATCAATAAATCTCTTGCATTAATATTTTTTTTCACCAAATTCATTATGAAATACAATTATTATAATTTTTACTTCGTTTTGTTTGCTATTTATTTCTTAATATTTTACAAAGTACATTTCAAAAAAAAATATTTTTTAGGCTATTTCTATAAATATTATTCACTTCTCATATTTAAATGCCGAACACAACTCTCTCCCAATTTTTTTCTTTCCAAATAGCTTCTTTTTTCTCCGAAACTTTTTTCTAATATAGAAAAAAATCGCAGATATTAAATATCTAATTAAATATTAAATATCCAATTTAGAAGCTAAAAATTAGAAATTTAAGATATTCAAAAATAAGAAAGTAGTGAAAAAAAGTGAAAACATCGGGAAAAAGTTAGCGAAAACTATCGCAAGAATAAGGTAAATTTTTTAAGGCAAAAGTAAATTCTTTAAACACTTTTAATGGCAAAAACTGAGAAATTCCAATGTTTTCCAATTATAAAAACTTGTCAAACCAACGCAAAGAACCCCAAAATAAGCAAAAACACTAAAAAAATGACAAGAAACGATGAAGAAAATGGCGCGAATCGATTTAATCCAGCGAAAAAAACAAATGCGTTGCGGCCATATTTCTTTATGCTATATTGAAATGGATTTGCGCGGTAAATTTGAAAATCTGACTGTTGCAGCTTTATTTTGCTGTAACTCTATATTCATGGGATACTACTACTATCAGCTGAATGTATGAGACAGTAGGATGCTAGATTTAGACCGACAGAGATATTTACATTAAGAAGGATGTCGGAACATCTTTTCAAATATCCGTAACCCACCTGATAACTTGTTTCACTAATTTTGAAGGCGCCTTCGATTCAATTAATAGAGCGGTGATCTGAGTGTAATGAAATATGACGGTGTACCAGAGTAAATCATTCGGTTCATAAAGATATTTTATCAACGTACCATAGCTCTATGTATATGCAGACAGACCCTTTTGAAATAAGAATTGGTGTCCGTCAAGGCGTTCTTTCCTCTACAATATTCAACTATGCAATGAATTGGATAATGGACACCGCTTGTAATCACTCAAGAGGTGTACAAACCAGTCCGGAGCATCAGATCTTGAATACGCTGATAATACAGTGCTTTTTGCCTATTATGAGGAAATGCAAACAATGATAAACAGTCTGTCAGCAACTGCAGCGAGAATCGGATTTAGGCTCAGTATAAATAAAACAAAAATCCTTTCGTTTTATATACAAGAAGCTGATAAAATTCTTTATAAATGCATTGCCGGTTGAGGAAGTGCCCGATTTTAAATACCTTGGATCCACTCGAATGGTCAGGTAAAAGACGGACGATATTACAACCCGGATTACGGCAGCTAGAAATGCGTCCTTTCGGTTGCGTCCTTTATGGAGCCATCTCGAAATCACCATAAAAACGGAAGACCGTGTCTATGTAGCTGCGATGCATTCGATCTTAGTTGCGAGACATGGTCGATGAGAGTGAAGGATATTAAAAAGTTACTAGCCTTTAACCACTTCTGTTGTTTATTACTATTGACGATGGCATCAAATCGCGCCGCTTGGAAACGCCTTATCTTTGTAGCCAGTAGAGCCAGCCTAACCAATAATGGTGAAAGCTAGAAGAAAAGAAGAAGAGTTGCAGATATTTGAAATGAAGAAAGACTGACTTGTTTCAACTTGTAATGTTTTCAAGGTGTAGAAACGATCAATCATTTCATAAATCATTAAAATTTTTGCCTAAATTTAGTATTTTCTGAACGTCGAAAATCCTTTTGCACTCATGAAAGATACAGTCGAAATTAGATGAAATACTCCATGTAGAAACAAAAAAAGGACAAAAACACTTGAAGCAAAGAAATTTTTCTTACCATCGGCTGATTATTTATTATTCCTTCCTATCCTCTGAGTTTTAATGTCGGAATTTAAGTGTTAAAAGCAGTAATAAGATTCTATTCCTAGTCGCTTGGTTATCAGTGGAGCTAGATGATTGAGCAGTTTATTGCTTCAAAAGAATTGAAATTTATATGGATCCGATCCCTGTACTTTGATGAAGGTAAATCTGTCATTAAAAGTAATCTGAGTGGTCCTAAAAACATATTTCTAAACAGCGAAAAGATCAGCTACTAGCCAGTGTAACCAATTAAATTAGAAATGGTGAGTTCTGTTAAAATGAAAATATGGCCTACCAAGCTTAAATATTTCTTGTCAGTTATCTGATACTTAAAGTACAGCTAAACCACATATTTCGGAGTTAGAGACAGCTTTTTCTCACGATATGAATTGCAGAATGCTAGGTTACGCAAACTTAGCACGAATAGAATGATTAGTTGGACTCGAGAGTAATTCAAAGTCCAACTATGATGCGGTAAGGGTTGGCGGCTTCGATGGACGTTTCAACGGAGACGAGAAAGAAATCGTTTTATTCATCCTTCTTGCCTTATAAAGTTAATAAGAACTTGCATCATAACTTGCAATTCCTGTTTTTAACGACAAAAATAGTGGATCGACAAAGCAAATTTTAGTCATTTAGACATTTGAAAGGAAGTAAGCGGCTCGACAAGTACCACGAAAACTTTGCATTAATTATATAATAATCGCTTAAATATTATAAATTTGGAGTTGCAGTATTGCAATTTTTTCAGGAATTTTAATGTTTCTCATCTTTATTTTCTTTTTTGATATTTTGAATTGAACGGTTTTCAAACGGCGCGGTATGATGCAATCGTCGACAGTAATAGAACCTTTTTGCATCGTCTAAGTCCATCTATGCGTCCAAAATCTTTCCTGACTGTATCAGTCCAGGTCTTGATTGGCCCACCTCCCTGCAGACTGCAAATAGTTATTTTTTCAACTAAAACACGGAGTCAAACAAAAACAGAAGTTAAAAATTTTTTTGAATGAATTTTTAAATGGAACTCTTTTTTGAAAATTGAACTATTGACCTGATTGAATTAAATTATTCGGACCAAAATTTTTGTTGGAAGCAATCTTCAGAATTAATAATCATTTTTTGGCTAACACGCTATAACACGAGGCTTTCGTCGTTCGCGTAATTTGTTATTGGATCAGTTTGTTGAAGAAAAGTTGGCTGTTTGCTGGTTTAACTAAAGCTATAATAGGTTTGGTTCCTGTCCTTTGACGGGAATAAACTTGAAATTGCAAGTGAAATTCGGCTTGTGATAGAAATCAGAAAAGCCAGAAAAGTAAGTGATTAAGGCTCATCGTTTTCCGATCAGGTTCAACCACTGACTATTGGTATGGTTAGGCATTTTTTCCAGAAAGTTGGCGATACAAGTACGGAGGTATCGCTAGCAATACCTGGGATTTTAATGGCAGGTTTAGACAGTTCTCTCAACACGACTGTTTGCTATATTTACTGGTAATAATTCACTCGGTTTCCTGCGTTTTGATAATGGAAAGTAGAAATCAGTTTATCTTATCAGAATAAATCAGAATAAATAAATTTGGTATGATTTGGTATGATTACGAATTTGATAAAATTACCACAAATACAATATAGTTCTCAAATCAAATTGCACTCCAAATTTCAAGTTTCGATTTTTAGAATCGTTCCTAGAGTAAATCCTAATAGGTGTCATTTATTTATTTGCTACTTAACCGATATCGCCTTTTATGAAATGCTCACTTATATTGTTCGGTTTAGAAATCTGATAAGTCACATCGTTATAAATTTTCGAACGATTGAATTATCGACTAAACCTTCATTATTGTCAAAATTTATTTGACCTTTAACCCGGAACTTTCAAGTGTCAAAGGTCAAGAACGGATACGCATTGACAAACATATCGAAAAAATAAAATAATGGTTTAAATAGGCACAAAAAAATATGAAAATTAATAGATTAAAATAAGAAAAATATACAAAAGTGATTACAATTTTGCTAGAGAAATTTGGAAATATGCTAAAAAATTCGCGTTTTCTTAAGGCTCAGGTTAGTTTCGGCTCCTGTATTCTGAAGCAAAATTATCACTAAGAAACTCAGCTAGTTCTGGCAATTCACCGGCACTTTTATCGGCAAATAGCTTCCCAGCCAAAATTTCTGGCCGTGTTAATCCAGCTGAGCTGAGTTAGCCTAACCATAAATGTTCAGCTTCCATTCCACTCAGGCCAATAATTTTAATGGCTTCGAAGTGCATAACAACGATAATTAATGA